ATGATGTTTGTAGTACTGTAAAACAACATGCTTTGGGTTATTTTGGCTTTTACGTTGCAATACTGCAGTCTTACTGATGTCACAGCGGTGTGATGTCTCATGAACACACAAATTGCATAAGAGGAACCTCAGATTTCTGTGGCATTTGCTCCAACAAATGCTGCTTCTCTCCATCAATCTTTTACCCAACTCCAATCTAAGCACTCATAGTACTTCTAGTTCCTCACTTGTTGGCCACTTATTGCTTAATGCAAGCAGTATGTCAGAGCTGGTATAAAAAGTGTACAGGTCGCTTTATAGAATCACAGAATCATTTAGGTGGGAAAAGATCCTTGCTAAGTCTATTCTGGTAGAGTACGGGTGTTCAGGATCAGCCAAGAGCTATGAGCAGTGTTTAATAGACTTACGTAGGGCTCCTACCAGAGGATGGGATAAGTGATTGAGGTAGGTCTCTTGGAAGTGAGTGAGCAGAGTTGGTAGAGGTTACACCTTTTTTTTGGCAGGGGTGCTGGGCCTTTTCTGGTTAGGATGAGTTTTTCCCTTATCTGAAGGGAAAAAAAAATGCTTGTGCCCGATCTAAAGGAGTGTATTGTTTCCTTTATAATGGCTTGGATTCCTCTGTTATGTTTGGTTTGTGTACATAAAATAAAAATATCTTTTTTTTTTTTTTTAATTAAAGCAGTTGTTGGAGTGTTTTATGTAAGCTAGAGGAACATCAGATCAGTCTGTATCTGACATAGAATAAGAACACAATAGCTCTGCCCAGAAGATAATCTGAAGCTCCGTAGAAAATAACTGGGAGAGTAGGGTGGAAGTTTACCAACAGCTGTATCAGACCCAGAGGCAATAGCAGTAATTCTGCTTGGCAGAAGCACTATAGAGATCCACTTTGCCAGCAACTGAAGGAGTAGAAACTGAAACTGGAAAGACAACAGCAAGAAGACAGTGGAAATCCTTGCTTTTTTTTCCAGCTTTTGAGAACCAAAGACAACAGTAAGGGCAGTCATATGAAAATGGATGTAACGGTTCACTGAACCTGGGCTTGAAGATGATCTAAAAATCGTTTCTAAGGAGACCTGAGCAGTTACCTGGAGTATAAAAGTGGATTGGGCGTAAGTGGGCCATCACTGGTATGAGTGGGTCCTGCTTTGGCAAGGAAGTGACTTGAATCTTGGTTGTAATCCAGCTCTAGAGTTGCTCTGGGGATCCATACCTGCGGATGGGAGAATGAATGGAAACCTGCTGAAAGGTACCGCACTGCACTGACAGCTCCTGGAAGTATTTTTTCTCTCTTCTCCATTAATAAGGACTTTGTTGAACTGGACAGAGAAGATCGTGAGAGGAAAACAGACCTCTTCAGAGAGAATCTATCCTTTGTGCAGTAGGCAGAAGTGAGAGCTTATTCTGAGCTATGTTCATGATCACGCTGTGGAGAACCCTTGTTAATTAACATCATGTCTACTCACATTTGCTGTGCAGAAATCACTTCTAGATCCCCACTGCCTAGGGAAGACAGGTAAAGGCACTGATTTTGGGGTTAGTCTTGTAGCAGATGATGTAGTCCACCTACTACATTAGTTGCAAACTCTCACCAGGGCATACTTTTCTATGCTGATTTCCAGAAGTTGAATGCATCATCTTAATGTGATGAGTATAGTATATGTACATTCAGCTCTTTGTCTTCATACACAAAAAGGATGGTGAAAGCCTAGCACTTGCTAATATTTTAACACAAACCTTTACAACAAGTCTTTCAATGAAGGTAGGCTCATCACAGTCATCTTTAAAAAAAAAAAAAAAAAAGGCATTTTTAGGGGGGAACGTGCTTTCTTTTGGGGAGGAGGGTCTATGAGGGAGCTGGGGCTCCCCTTCCCCTGGCCCTTTCGGGAGGCACCGGGGAAGGAGCCGTGTTATTTCCTGCAGCCTGAGCCCCCACCTCCCGCCTTCCCCTTCGGGGAGCGGAGCAGCCAGACGAGATGTTATCAATAGGCTGAACCTTACAGAAAGCCCCCTTTTTAAAAAGCGAGTACTTCCTCTGCTTTTTTCATGTGGTATCCTGTGGAACTGAACTCTCTCCTCCCCTCCTCGACGGGTGTATTTCAGGAGGAAAAAGGAAAAAAAAAAAAAAAAAAAAAAAAAGATCTAACAACATCCTTATTGTGTTGTTTTGCTTCTTGTCTTTTTTCTTTTTACAGTCTTTTTTTTTTTTTTCTTCCCTAAAGCTATAGGCTCCAATAGCAAAAAAATTAAGAAAAAACCAAGTCTTCTGCGTTTAAAAAAAATTTAAAAAGCCAGCGACAAGTTTCTCTGTTCCCTCTCCCCCTCCCTTTGATTAATTCTCATTAGGGCCTTTGAACAAACAATATGCTCCCCTCTCAAATAACAGACAGGGTATATATTACACCCAAAGAAAAACAAACAAGGCTAGCTTAGACATCCACACCAAACGCAATTCCTGGAGAGAGGCAGGGGCAGATGCACGCGCGGCCATCGCCGGCCTATTTCCGAAATTCCAGTTTGAGGGCGACGGAATAAATCGTCCACAAAGGGAAGCACCTTCCAACATCAGCCAGGACGTGCAGGTCCATGGTTGCAGACACTTTAATCCAAGTAAAGAAAGAGCCCAGCCACGGAGTTGGCCAGTCCAGGGTAGGAGAGGAGGTGCTGGAGGCATCACACCTTGGAAAAGGTGTTGGGATCTGGACGAGATGACCTTTAAAGGTCTCTTCCATATCCAAACCATTCTATGATTCTATGAAAAGCCCAAGAGGGGTGAGGAAACCACCCTCTGAACCCCCATCCTGTAACAGCCACCTGGAAGCTGAAGGAGACGGGAAATGGGAAAATGAGGGGAATTGCAGAATATCTCAAGTTGCATCAATATCTCAATGAAGGGACCCATAAAGATCATCGAGTCCAACTCCCTCTGCAACATCTCCTGCAAAAAACGGGGTCACCTTTCCTCCCTGAGACACCACAAGCCTCACACATGAGATGTCGGATGCTTGAGCAAAGCCCAAGGACGGCTCTTGGTGCCACCACCAAGAGGTGCCACCACCACCAAGTCAAGGAGAGCTTGATGTCAAAGCCTTCTGGCAAAGCACGACTGCACCTGCTCCCATAATCCATGCATCCCAACGAACGGGTGGCCGACATCGCTTCGCCTTCCCCAAACACGCCTCTTCCTGCCTCACTCCAAAAATTAATGGAGCGTGAGGCCGGAATTCAAAGGAAATACGGGCTTTTTGGGGATGGAGAACCTCGCCTGGGATTTCAACACATCCTCTGCAGGAGAGGTAGGCGGCTGCTACCGAAAGGAAACCCAACTCCCCCTTGGAGCACGCTTCTTCTCAACAACTCGCATCCCCAAAACTCCCCCCAAGCATCCCATGGCCTTTCCACCGGCACCCTCGGTCAACGCAACTCAAAAATCCAACGCGACAAAATCCAAAGAGAGCAACGAGAAGGTGTCTTACCTGAAAGCCCCCCAGGGGCTAGACAATTAGTTCCCCCTGTTTCAGTGGAGGAAGGCACAGAGTCTGGACAATCTGCTTGAGCGGAGGAAAAGAGAAAAAAAAAAAAAGGAAAAAAAAAATAAAAAAAAATAAAAATCAGTATATATAGGCGGTTCTTTGCAGGCTCCCGGCATCGCCGCGAGGAGAACACGCATTCCAAAGGGTTTAGCAGGAAGCGATTACTAATTGTCCCGCGCGCAGACGGTAGTTCATCAAGAAGCATCCACCCTTAACTCGTCGCCTCCGTCAAGGCTGCGCTTCATCGCCAGCCAACACTGATTATAGACCAGCCAAAATTACAGACTGGCTGCCACCTCCCCGGCCCAAGCCACCGGGTGACGAGATCAAGGTTGTCGCCGTCCTGATGTAAGCGAGCTCCCAAAAAACGCTTAAATCGTGGCTTTGTGCACCCGATTTAGTCTACACCCGTAGCTCGCCGAAATGGGAACCGAAAGGGAAATGTCTCACCACCGCCCTTTGGCGGCCAACGGTCTACGTTTGTGTTCCCCTGCTCAATTTTTGTCACCGCCAGCTGCTGGCAGATCTTACACCTCGCTGTCACCTCCTGGGACACCTCCTGGATCCGCTCCTCCATGCACCACCAAAGGCCAAAGGCAAGGGAAGACTGGCCACCCCGTTAAGAGGTTTCTCCTCATGCATGGAGGTGTTCAAGCTCAAGGTTTGGACCTTTCCATCCCAAGCCCGCTCCTCCAGCTGCATGGAAGTGTTCAAGCTCAAGGTTTGGACCTTTCCATCCCAAGCCTACTCCTCCAGGTGCATGGAGGTGTTCAACCTCAAGGTTTGGACCTTTCTGTCCCAAGCCTGGTCCTCCAGGTGACAAAAGCCAGGAGCCACCACTGATCCCCTGGTCCTACCGGCAAACCCCAGCTTTTCGGTCACTGCCATGTGGGAGACAAGCTCCAGGACTCTTCACACCTATGAAGACCCACAAAGTTCACACAAACTTCTGGTCCTCAGCCGATTCTCAGGGACTCTGGGTTTCACTGGGCTCCCTGATGACATCACTTTGCTCAGGGCTGTTATCTCAAAGCAAGGGCCACCACCAGGAGAGACAGGGTCATTGTCTCCCTACTGGTAGAAGTCATTTTTCCAGATTTCACCCCTGAAACACCAGCGAAAAAGAAATCCCTGTCTGCACCACCCCGTTTTATCAGAGTGAAGTTCGAAGCCCCAACAGGAATATACACTTTAACAGGATATACTTAATCAAACCAAAAACAATAGGGGAGACAGGAAATAAGACTTACTTGTGAAATACCGTATACGATACACTCTCTAAATGCCTTGTCCCACTTTCCATGCTTTAAAGAATTATGCTTTTTCTTTTTTCTTTTTCTTTTTTTAACCCTTTCTACTCCAGAGAGAAGATTCCCCCTGCCCTTCCTCTGAGATGAACGGAGGCTGGACCACCCTGCCCTGTGCTGGGGCTCCGTCTGCCCCCAGTTACAGCTCCCTGGTGGGATAAAGGACATAATTCGGCCTTTCTGCGTTGTCTGACTCAAGGGATCATAGGTGACCAGGTCCTCTGTTAGCACATCAGACAGGGTGGTGGGACAGAATCCTAGCCTGACTTAAAATACATAACCACAATGAGGTGATGGGCTTTCATTACTTCTTCACACCCTTCCCGTGTCCCATCATCCAACAGCCAGTTCCCTTCATCAATTAATTACCTTCTGAAGTCTCTTTAGAGGACGTAGAGCTGATGCACCTCAACTCTAGACCAAGTGTGATGGTCAGGTGTGGGATAAGCCCAAAAGCGAGACCCTCCTGACCTCTCTGCACTACCCATGGCCCGTTTCATCCTTGCGCTCTTCCCATCACCCCCAGATCTGCCAAGGGTTCTCGCTAAAAGGGGATACTCGGGCTCATTTTATTTTCAGCACCAAGTTGTGACAGTATCAGAGGTTTACCCAAGCCCACTGCATGTGAATCTTCTCCCAAAACTGCCCTCCTGCAATATAAAACCACCACAGAGGCAGACAATTATCCCTGGTGGCCACCAGCCCAACCTTGCGAGGTGCCGAAAAGTTCCTAGAAGGTGCCAAACCTCCAACTTCCCCGATGCCAGAAGAGGGCATTCGGGCTCTGCAGCGACATCTCCGTACATACCCCAGCACCACCGCGACCAGCCATCCAGAAGCATGATGGGCACAGCCTCGTTCCACTTAATGATGGGTCAAAATATCTGCTCGAATGATTTGGGGACACTACTATCCATCTCGTTTCCAACACAGGAATCAGGATTGCAGGGTGAGCCCAACCCTACACAAGCCACCATCGCCCATCCCTGCAACCATCCCATGTTAAGGAAGAGGGAAAGTCCTCTCCTTGATGAACAAGCAAGTCAACTTGGACTTCTACAGGTAACTGGGCTGTCAAGGGTGTGGATCTTTCCGCTCTACGGTGAGTGCACAAGTACCAGGTGAATCCTACCAACATGCAGTCTGATGGGACATTTCACGGCCTACAGCAGATCTCCAGCTCCCTGTCCATCCATCCCCGCTTGCCTCCAGCCAGCGACGCAACCCATCTAAACCTCCATCACCTCCCCAAAAAAACATAATCCCCATCATAATGATTTTAAACTAAAATAGGGCAGAGATTCAGCTTAGATATAAGGAAGACATTGTTTACAATGAGGGTGGTGAGACACTGGCCCAGGTTGCCCAGAGAGGTGGGAGATGCCCCATCCCTGGAAACCTTCCAGGCCAGGTTGAACGAGGCTCTGAGCAACCTGGTCTAGTTGAAGATGTCCCTGCTGATGGCAGGAGGGTTGGACTAGATGGCCTTTAAAAGTCCCTTCCAACCCAAACCATTTGATGGTTCTATGACCATGGCCACTGGCGATCACTGCCAGAACCCATACTGGTCCAGGCAATCCTGTCCATATGAAGCACTTAGAAGACGTAGCACTAAATGCTTCAAGATTTTTATGACCACCTAATGGGAAAGCAGAACTTTCCTGCTGGATGCACGTTCCCAGTTCCACGGGCAGAGGCGGTTGCCCAAGTCTAAATGGAGGAACCATTCCCACCCAAGGTCATCATGGCTCGGTCAAAAGGCTTCACACCTTCTCATCCTCACCTACCATCCCTCTCCCATCTCGGGGCGAGCAATCCTGAGTATCCAGCTGGGAAAACCACCGCAGGAGACACGGCACCGATGCTGGGAGGGGAAACCCTGGGTCCCTCCGCAGAGGAAACGCCGCCGAGAAACCCTGAGCTTGCAAAACCCACCTGCAACAACAGACTTCCAGGCTCCGCTTGCGCCCGTTAGTCAAGAGTTCAGCTGCCAAAGGGATTTTTTTTTTTTTTTTTCCCTTTTAAAAGGGAAAAAAAAAAAAAAAAAAAAAAAAAAAGAAGGAGGACTCTTTTTGGTGAGTAACCCAGTTGTTTCGTGCGTTTCCGATGGGCAGCGTTAATCACTTCCTATTGGCCGATAGGAATAACTTTTCCTTTTGAAATGGCACATTCATGTTCTGCGGCTTTTTCTGTTTACACACATTTTGCTACCTTATGTCAACACTTGCTAATGAATAAATATATCACTCAGCTAACTGAAAATGAGGTCCTGGCAGAGGCAGATTGGATGTTTAAAACCCCGCTAATAGATTTATCCCAACATCTTTACAGGAAACCCAAGGCCAGGTTTTAACCCTTCCACCCAAAACCCTCTGCATCCCGGGCCGGCATCACCCTGGGGTAGAAGGAAAAGTCAAAAAAAAGCAGAAATATCAACTTTTATAAGGGAGGACCACAAGGAGGGAGTCGAAACGATGCCCATCTCACCCAAAGCCACCCAACTTGGTGACCCAGCAGAGCAATAAGGGTCTTCTTATGGCCCGACCCTTCTGCATCCCGGCACGTGCTCGGGATACGTGGAACCCGGCTCCCGATATCCCTCTTTCATTCATCAGCCTTTTTATCTCCTTGTTTTTCCCCGCCGAGGCAAAATATTTCACTCTTTGCAACCCGCTTGTTTGTTAAACAGCTCTGCTTATTTCCCACAAGGCATAAAAAGAGTTACTGGTGTTTAATCTTAGAGGGGGGGGAGGAGGAGGAGGGAAAACCAATCCAGCCTCCAAGGGCAGGATGGGACCCCACTAGGGTACCCCCATGTGTTCCATCAACTTCAGGTTTGGGGGGGGGTTCTTTTAGTCCCAAGGAACTGAAAAGCTGCAATTTTACAGCTCTTCTGGCCCAAAAAATAGTAATAATTACAAAAAAAAAATTAAAAAAAAAAAAAGAGGATTTAGTATCAGCCTTCAGAATCACTTTGCCTCCCTCCTTGCTGTGACCAAGGGATGCCACCACAGACACCAATACTCCCCATCCCTAAATCCCCATCCTCAAAATCCTTCTGGGGGAGCTGGGAGCTTCTCCTCCTCCCTGAGCTTCAT